ACAACTAAGAACTAGTAATCTACTAAGTATGATTGTACGCGGTGAACTTGTGCCACACCAAATATTTTTAAATCTGACTAGTCATTGAGTCATTTGAAACAAAACACTTAACCGTCTTGATCAAGTTCTGCTTTGTCTGTTACAAAATGTTTTACCATTAATGGGCTATGAGGCCTTGTGCGGGTTTGGACTGGAGCCACTGGCATTATAAAAACTCTAGATTACCGCCTACTATATTTGGTTGAATTGTCCTTTGTTGAAACATATCTGTACCAACTTTTAATGAATCTTTGTAAGTTGCAGTAGTAACTGTTAGTTTTCCATCTCTTCTCCTTGTGTAGTTGTGGTTTTGTGTTCTCTCCCACCTCCCTCCCTTTTTGCTCCATTGTCCCCCAGCCCAGCTCACACTTTGGCATCCAGCACTGGTATGAAGTCATCGGAGGGAAGAAAACCGAGAGCCGTGTTGTTTTTGGAGGGAAGTCTGCTACAGCACTGTGGCTTGTCCAACATTATTATAATTTTTATGCTCTGAATACTTTTAATTTCACATTTGTCTGTTTCCTGTATCTAGTGTCTGCAGTTGCTTGTGTTTGTGTTGGCACCAATGTATCTTTCTTGTGCTTTTGGGTTAAAAAAAGAAAAGAAAAAGGGAACCTCTTCTTTTAAAAGTACTATAAGTAATGTGTGGCTTGTATTATATTCTAGTTGAAGCAGTGAGATGCTCATAAAATGGCACATACTTCAGTATCTGTATCACACCTCTTGCAACACTAAGCGTATTTTGTTGTCATATTGTTGCTCTCACCTATATTTTGTTTACACCAGATATTAGGGCTGGAAATTATGATATGGTGATACATGATGATACTCTGTGATATACTGCTGTTTTTTAAGAACCATATACATTTTAGCAACAATATTTATTTGTTAAAACACTAATTGTGCAAAGTTAATATGAAATAATCATCAAAACAGTTAATGTTTCCTTCCACTAAATTAGCAACAAAAATATAGTGAGGTCACAAAAAAATAGTTAAGGGATACCAAAAAAATAGTTTTGGAGATATATCGATACAGCAGCCCACAACAAAGATACTGTATCACCAAATTTAGTAACACAATATTTCAATATTTTAATATCTTTGCACACTACCCTACCGGATACCCTTCCAATCCCATCCGGCCACTGTAGCTTTACTGTACTAACAATGCTAAATTTGGCAAATTTGAACCACTGACCCCGGATGAATATTAAGCCACTGCTGAAGCTGGTCCTTATGTTTTTATAAATGTAATCATCATATTTCAATTTGCTTCAACCTGTCATATAAACAGAGGTTTAGTGAAAATATTACACATTACAAAAGCCTAAAACCATAGTATAGAATAATGCACAGATTGTCTCTTGCCATTTAAATAAGTAGAAACTTCCTTGCCGTCAGCTTCCATTTTGCAGTCCATCCAGTGGCTATAGAGATGCTTTTAGAGCAAAATAATCCCACTGGAGTCGCCCACAAGCCAACTCTGCGTTTTATCAGTTAAGTGTGCATTACAATTTATGTGACAGCATTATTCTCCGCAGTGACGTGGCCATTGTAATCCCATTTCCAGTCGGAGCCTCTTGCCCCACGCACATGCATAAGCCAATGTGCATTTAACATTCAAATCATGCTTCGAATTCACGTCTGCCCAAACAGACAGTTGTTTTTATTTCTCCGGCACTATTCTATTCCCATTGAACTAGCTGCATGTCATTTTTATTCATGTATGCACGTCAGACCAAGGCTACGGCTTTGGAGGAGGTTGCGTGTGTGGATGAAAAGGGACACTAACGAAGTGCCGCTGTCAATGCGCAGAGCTGGAGCAGGGTCAAAAGGGCCGGAGTGAGGAACCAGGATTGTGAAGCGCTGGGTGTTTGGATATGTGTTTCCCTGCACTGTCGGATGGCTGCGTGTAAGTGGCAACACATTTCAAATTGGCTCAGTGCATGAGAAATCTACAGCGCAGAAAGCAGGCATGCAATATTATACTGTTAAATTACTCTTTTGCTCATAGAATGTCCCATTGTAAGTACAGTGCCAAAGATCTAAATGCACACATTAGAATAGCATTAAATTGAATTGTAAAGTCATTGCTACACACATTATATCTCTAATTAATAAAAAAAGGGGTAATTTGTGCACCATCAAGTTTAATACGAACTGCAGAAGATTTAACTTTACTAATGGTGAAACAAATTTATACAAGGTTGCAGGTTTGAATATTAATTGGACTGTGAAAATGTCAGTAATGGATATTTTTGTGTGTGTTCTTGTGCTGTACTACTAAAATTGATATATAATAAACATAAAAGCATATCATTGCCCTAGTTTGCTGCAAGGAGCGCTTTTTCTTTGTGTTCTTTTTACATACATAAAGACCATGTAGAATATTGTACAAGATACTATATACTTTATTCTGTAAGTCTTTTCTATAACTCTTTTCATAATTCTATTAACACTTAAATAATGTACTTCAATACACCATATGACCAAATCATACGTGCTTTTCCAATTCTCCACTCCGTATTCAATGTTTGGTCTTTATGCACGTCTGCTTGGGTGGTTTTATATTTTTTCAAAAATCCTCAGCTTAATTCTTTAAATCCCTGCGTTAGAGTGAATCTGGCTCTGTGTGCATAGCCTGGCAAGTATGGCAAACCAAAGAACATTACTACTTAAAAGTCAAACATAGTGTAGTTGGAGGCATACACAGCACTGAAATTTGCTTTCCAGACAGGATTAGACATTGGCTAAGAGTGCACACCTTCTATTTGAGGTTGACTTTAAGAGATTTCTGAGAGCCATTGCCTCTTGAGAGCTGAACTAGAAGTAATGAGGAAGACAGGAAGAGGTTAGGCAAGTAGCAAGGGATCACATTTACTCTATAGACTGTTGCCCTTGAAATAGTCTTTATGAATATGTACTGGCTTGAATGTTTGAACACGCACTTGTAATTCTAATTAGCTTCACATATATGTTTAAGATAATTCTATGATGGCAAGAAAAATAATACAATATGGATCTTATATCAAAATCCATGACTACTGTTTGTAATGAATGACAAATATTATTACAAAAAGTGGCACAAGTTTACCTTATTAATAAGATTGGGGCGACTTCAAAGATTTTTTCAGCGCAGCCTTGATTAAATAATTCATCTTTATCATTTTTTTTCCATGTGCCTTCATCTCATCATCCATCCTATTTTAATTTTCTTTTATATGAAGTCAACTTGGGTTCCTCTGAACCTCCCAAAAGCCTGTCATCTGCAGATTTGAACCACTTTCATCAGATTTTGCAGTCACCTTGTGGAACTGCACCAGGATCATTTCCTGTTTTGATCATCGTCTCTAATCGCTTTAACTGTGATTAAAAATATTGACTACATACAGTTCCACAATAAACATTTGTAAGGAAATACCTAAAAGTGCCCCAGTGCATTTCCGGATATATTTCCCGACTGTTGCAAAAAAAACCAATTAGATTTGAATAGAAAAAAGCACTTCCACAGTTTACATCTGTTTTCATGCATTAGTAAACAGGTTTCCTCTCTGCAGAGATCAGGTTCAGACCACAAAGACAAGAGTGGGGTTTGTAGGTACACCCTCTAATAGCTTAAGTAATGTCTTATAACATAAAAGTCTTGCTTTGCATGTGATCTACAGTATGTGATAAGACATAAAACAGTGTGATAAAAAACCCCATTCAGAAAACTTAACTTAGGCATGAAATTTCTGATCAATCAATCAGAATAGTTGTAGGTGCTTTGGATATAAAGAAACTCCTCCCCTTTGACAATCCAGATTATTGAACTGTAACATAAGAAGACTGGGATGCTTTGGGAAGGGGGGGGTTACCGAGTTTAGCTGTTAAAATGAAGGTTTTATAGAGTATTGTTTTAATGTAATTGTCTTGCTTTGTTTGTTGTTTTATTTTAATATCTATAAACTTTTTACTTATTTGGAACTGCAAGTTAAAGTGAATAGACAGAAACCGAGTCAGGGATCCGGGATAGAAGAGAGCGGAGCATTGAGCCTCAGAGCCATCAAGGACATTTCAGAGTAAGTTGGCCGGCAGTTACGCGGTGACTCTGCTGCAAGCATGGGGCCTGGAGGATTAGTGTCCAATCAGAGTGGATTTGATGTTTACTGACAGCACATGGGACTTAGAGAGAGAACTGTATTTCATTTGCATTCAATGGAGCCAACCGCATTGCTTTGCCCGGCTTCCCCTCCCAGCTCTTAGAATCCAGAAAACCAAAGACTTGAACTCATTGTCGACGCACTCCACCAGGTAAGAGAGGCTCCGAAGTTATGAGAGGCTTGTGGGGGTTGGACTTAGATGTGATCATCATAGTGACCATCACAATCACCAGATCCGCTTGTATCTGGTTCATGTGACGTCACAGTGGGAGGTGGAATTAAACAGGCTTTATTTAGATGTAATCCTTCATAGCAATCGGCAGAGAAGTAAAATGTCCCAGAGAAGGGAAAGATAAACCCTATTGGATTAGTCCAAGCCCTGGCCCATCCCAATTCCTAACCCAACCAATCCCATCCGCTTGCCCTGTCTTCCTTGTTTTATTCTATGGGTAGTTATCCTGGTGCTCTGTTAAACGAAGTAACTGGACTACCTTTGCTCTGATCTGTGTTAGTGAGGGGTGTCCTTTTTCCTCCTGAACAGCAACCAGCATGACCAGAGATTAATTATTCAACAACTGCCTGCTGAGAGAGAGAGAGACACTCGATAGTGTGGTCTTACAATATTACAACCTTACTGGGTATAACAATAGACCAGTTTCATTCACTTTTGTGCATCTCTCATCAGCTGTGTGTATTTTTTTTGTTGTTTTTTTTTATTTTTTTATGCGAACTGAAATAAGGAACTACTACACTTTTGTTTTTTTCACTCTTGTTCTCTATACTGAACTTTTGGCCTTTGGGTTTTTCTTCTTTACCAATGCTTGTCGCTAACAAGCAATTGCCTCTTGGTCGCTCCCACAGTTGGGATACTTTAGGGGGGAATGAGGGTCAGTGGGAGAGGACTGAGAGTGCATATGAGCAGCAGGCGAGAATAGCTGGCCGGCGGAGTTCTCTTTCTTACGGAGAGGGAGGTGGGTGGTACGAGCCTGCTCCAGGGGTGCGTCCTCCTGACCTGGATTCAAAACGTGAACTATATTCTTACCAAGACTCATCGTACGGACAGATGTACACGGACCCACGAGGAGTGAGGAAGAGTTCTGTACCTGATCTCAACCACTACGAAAGGGGGCCCATGACCCATAGAGGATCTATTTCACATCAGGATTACTATTCCCATGACCCGGCCATTACACCTCGCCCCCCTGAAGCTTTCTACAGAGCGGATCACCACCCACCACCTCCTCATCCTCTCAGTAGGTCTGGCTCACATTATGGCATGACACCAGCTGCTCGGGCTGCCTGGGACCATGGGCCGAGTAGCAGAGCCGCACCCCAGGGCCCTTCATCACCTCTTCCTCCTCCACCCCCTCCACCAACCTCCCATGAGGTGAACAGAGCTTATAGGGAGCCTAGTACTCCCAAAATGATGGCTGATGGACAACAACGGATACCGTCTCGAGCTCCATCACCTGCCCATTATCCTTTGGATCATGCCTCTCCGCGCTATGCAGGTGAGCCTCCCCCTGTGACTGGACAGGTTTATACTGATGTGAATGGGCGGCCGTTGGATCCACAACAGCAGTCAGCCACCTGTCTGGTGATTGACCCCGCCAGTCAGGGCATGGCTATGAGGCAAGATACGGCTACAGTGTACAATGTTCAACAACAGCAATTACATCAACAGCAAATTCAGCAACAGCAAATTCAGCAACAGCAAATTCAGCAACAGCAAATTCAGCAACAGCAAATTCAGCAACAGCAAATTCAACAACAGCAGTTACAGCAGCAACAGTTACAGCAACAACAGCTTCAGCAACAGCAACAAATACAACAACAACAGATACAACAGCAGCAACAGTTACAGCAACAACAACTTCAACAGCAAGAACAAATGCAGCAACATCTGCAGCAGCAGCCCCTCCCCACTGCAGTCACAGTGCCCATGCCTGACCCTAATCTTCCTCTGGCAGCTCCTCATCCTGTTGCACCTGTCCCAGTACAGACTACAGCAGTTGCAGTCCTCCCTGCTCCTGCCTTGGTCCAGGCTGTAGCAGCTCCTCCTCCACCTGTCACACCATTGCCTGCTCCTGTCCCTGCTACACTTCCTCCTGTTCCACAGACTCCCCTGCCAGTTGACTCAAAGAAGCCTGCTGATCCTGAGTTTTTGGCTTTGTTGCGTAATGAGGGCCTGTCAGAAAGCACAATTTCTTCTCTTATACAGCAAGGTTTTGATTCTACAAGCATGCTTGCAGTTATGGAAGAGAATGATGTCCGCACAGTGGCACCTAACCTTGGTCAGGCGCGTGTATTGTCTCGGGTTGTTCAAAATTGCAAGCGCCCTGTAGAAGTCCCACCGGTGTTAACACAGTCACAGACGACAATGCGAGGGCGTTCAAATAGTTTTAGTCATCGCTCAGACATCTATAGCCAGCAACAGCATCCTCCACAAACATTGACTGTAGATCCGCAGCTTTTGCCCCCACAAACACCTGGTCCCATGCAAACCATCAACCCAAGAATGGGAGACACAGTGGGTCGGAGGCCCAGCAGTGCCCCCTCTCAGCATCTATTAGAGGCATCAGCTTTTCCTGGACAGGCCCCTCGCTCTCCAGTGCCATATGCAGGAGCCATGATGCCTGTTCAGTCAAGACCAATGTCCGCTTACTCTTCAGGGGTGACAGGAATGCCCATGCAAGGTATGCAAATTTTGCCCCAGCACATGTCCGGGTCAATGCCTGCCATTGCAGGATCTATGCATCAACTTCCAGCCATGCCCCAACAAATGCCCATTTCAATGCCAGCTTTACAACAGCCACCCCAACAAGTACCTAAAGCTTACTCTACCAATTACACTGTGCCCATGGAGCTGATGAAGAGAGACAGGAGTTTACTGCCCATGTCGCCCATGCAAAGCCCTCACCCAAGTCCTCAGATGATGCGTAAAGGTGGAGGCCCTATTCCAGACAATGCTCTTATCCCTGTTGGAGTCCCTGGTCAAAGCCAAAGTACTGTGGTTGCTAACCAGAAGCTCAGTAGGCGAACTGGTCCGCCAGTGATTGTTTCCACAATGGCATCTCCAGATACAAGTAAATAGTCTTTTGTTCTCATTTTATTGTGTTGCACATGACATGTCATGCACATCATCTTACATTTATGTTTTCCATTTACTTGTAATGAAAGGCAATTACTGCTGCTTTGTATGTCCGCTTTGAAATGAGATATTTCACTCAACATCTCTAAGATATGCTTTATTCTCCCTGTTGTTGGAGCAGTATGTTGTATTATTTATGTCTTAATTATTGATTTTGATATAATTTGGTTGAAGAATACATCTTTAGAGTCATATAGTGTAGTATAGTATATAGTATTGTTTAGTATAAGAACTCTGCCACAACAATCAGATTAAACAGATGTTAAACATATTATTTTGATAAAAGTAGGCTTTACTGCATTCATGCAGCTTCCATTTATACACATGGTAGTATTGCACTGCTTTTCTTTTTTTAAAATATAACATCGAGTTGTGAGTAAAAAATAAATAAATAAATCCATGGAACAAATAACATTGAGGAATGGTAAAATTGGATCAGTTGTGTCACACTTTTGGCATTGCCTGCACTGTATAGACAAGTATTATTCCTGCGTAGATCAAATCAAATTATGGTGCTGATGTGTGATTGTATCATTTTCTCTGTGCAGTTAGTAATGAGAAGAGAGGATTTTAATCCCATAGATCCTCCATTTCCACTGCTACGTTAATCTACAAATACTGATTCTGTTAGACTAGTCTGTCGGCTGACTGTGTGCGGTACCTAGTCTTGTAGTAAAAGTAATAGTCGCTCTGGGAACAAATCGTTTTACTGAGGTAGTTTTGTTCTCATCCCTTTGATTTCCAAACCCAGGAGAGCTATGAATGAGCCCTATTGCCTGGTTGTCAAAACATGCTGCTCTGTGCACAGATGGACACATGCTTGAGAAGACATTCTTCAAGTCTGCCACATACACTTGGTGCACATTGTTAATACACACTGTCAGCAGGGTAGACTTCATTTGCATGTGGCTGACATTTGTAGCTTTGGTAATTTCATCTGTTAATGGACACAGCAGCGAGGCTGCTCTGAAAGCATGTTCCTAAATTGTATGTTGCTAGGCAACATGCTTTTGGATGGTTATTGTTGGCAGTTTGCTCCTGGTTAAGGGGCTGGTCTATTGTCATACAACACAACAAATTGCAAATAACAGTAGAGCTTGTGCACTTGATTAAAAAGTGAACCATTTTCCTGACATGATTTTTTGAGTTGATTCTCACGAAGTAATAAGAGTTGATTAGAGTATTGCATTTTTCAGTATTATCAGTTCATGTTCATTAGTTTCCCAAATGCACATAACACCTCATGTTTGTATAAACATTCATTCTTCTTATGTGTGCTCGCAATAGAGCTCTGTCTTTATGACTAACCAGAACTCCCCCATCCCCCACACTCCATGACAGCCTCCTGCTCACTTCCTGCAGTCACTTGGCCCCTGTCCCACCACTCTGGCAGTGGACCCCTTGCCAGTCAAGGTCAGCTCCACTCGCGTGACACACTAGCCGTCATCTTCTTCCTGGGCCAGGCCCTGGTATGATGGTGGGGGAGGGTCCGGTGTATTAGTCCTGGAGATGGCAGATTATGTATTAACAGCGTGCAGGTCAGAGCTGGGCAGTTGTTGCACTGAGTGAGGATTAAGAGGAAAGGCAGTGCTTGACTATGGGACAGTGATTGCTTGTTGTCGGAGGGGGGAAGGGTAAAGGGCATTTTGACAGCTGTCAGTCAGGCATGGAGTTGGTGAGGAGATAAAGCTGTGCTGCTGTAAGATTTTTGGTGGTCGTATTTGGGCCTGAAGCAGACAGTTAAAGGTCATTTTGATTTGCTGGCTCGGCTGGAGTGACTTGTTTGTCCAGTACTATTTCACTTTCCAAACCAAGTGGACAGCTTAGCAAAGTCACAACCTTGAGGTCTTTGCTTGTTGGATAGAATGATGACGTGCACTGTTGGCATAGTATTATTCTAATTGATGCTTTTAACGTTTAAACCTTGCCTTTCTGCCTTTAGTATTCAGTTTTGTTTACTTCATTGTATCAAAGATATGCAGCCGGTATTTATTTGCACTAAAATATGAGTGCTGTTTGCGTTGCCTGTGGCAGGTGGCTGTGGCCATGTCATTTGAGGAAGAGAGCTGAGTTTCTCTCCACACCAGATGTTGTTCTTAATATCAGCCAGTGCCTTTCTCAAATAAATATGATACATCTGACTGCCTTTTGGACTCTACTCAGTTCAAATCAACTCACATCATGATTTCTCATTCCCTTTTATCTTGCCTTTATTCTTATTCTTTGTCTTAAACCATGCCACTGTGGCTTTGTTTCCTTGGCTGTCTCCCTTCGCCTCCCTTCTCCCGGTAAGAAAATTAATCTTTGCAGGAAATTATTCTGCCATGACACCCGCCTGATTTAAGAAAGTGTGGAGGAGAAAAGCAACGGGAGGAAATATGTTTCTAAATAAATGGTACATCCAGCTCAGCCAATTATTTTCTGACAGTGGTTGTGGGTTTTTGGAAAATTGAGAAAGGGCTGTGATGGTAACTAAAGACAGCTGGTAGGTTAAAGCACAAATAAGTAAAAAATGTTTGCATCTAGGAGAAGTATAACTGTTGATACACAATGGAACCAAATTCAAAGTTTTTTTTTTAAGGAAATGTTATACTTGTCATTTAAGTGCAGCTTTAATAAGCATGCCATCATTGCATCCATGCTATTACTTACCCATCAGTACATCAGTATAACAGAATTAAGTGCTTCCACAAATCATTTATGATTAATGAATTCATATTTTTATCTTGAGAAAATGTTGAATGCATATCATCAAACTTTGGGAGTCTATCAGTTGTTTTTCTGTTGTACTTGCCATCAGTAATTTACATGACAAGTACATACAAACATACAATCTGTTGGAAAAAGTGTCCCCTTTTGTCAAATATGCACTTATTTCAGCACAAAACCTGGCAATGCAAAACGCCTTACCAATAGAATTTTACAATTAAAATGGAGCCATTATATTAGTAGTTAAACCGCTGCAGCAGGTTGGAAATGTCAGCTCAGAGAAGCCATTCATCCTCTCAAAAACACTCTGATATTATATTGCATTCAAGAGGCCTGACACCTGACATATCCTGCTATTTTTTATTTTTTTGGAAAGCCTGCCAGGCATAGAGACGATTTGCCGAAGATCAACAAAAGCGAACAGTCCTTGAAAGCCGTTCTGACTGTAGAGGCAGAAGAAAAAATGCTTTTCTGAGCCCAATGCGCTGCGTCCTTTTCACCGAGACATGAAGTGATTAACTGTTGCTTCTGGGAGCACATGGGAAGAAAAGAAAGGCGCAGGGTCATACGTACTTAAACATTTGTGGCTTCGGAAAAAATCTAAAGAAAAAAAAAATCAAAATGCAAAACTGAATTCCTTGACTCCTATATTCTCATTAAATCTGCCCTCTCCGCTCCTACCATCCCCGGATTTGGCCTAAATTATTCATCTTCAGAAAAAAATGGAATCTTCACGGGTCTTAAGTCAGAGCAGAGACAGTTGCATTGCATTGGCCATGTGACCATGCACGGCTGTGTTTGAACAAAAGGTAGCCGAGTTAGTTTGGAGGTGTGGATGAATCTCATTTGCACTTGGAAAATATATATGTCTCGAGAGGTGCTCACAGCTGTGTTCAGATCACATGGGATTGGAATAGGACTGTGTGGTTTTTAACAAGTGAGTAAATGGAAATATTTCACACAGGCTGTGCTGAACAAAAAAATGAAATGAATTGGAAAAGTGGTTGAGTGCACCAACCATGCCATGGTGAAAGTTAAAATACAATTGGAACAGAAAAAATGGAAAAATAAGAAAATATTTTGTAAATGAAAAAAAAAAAATAGAAATACATGTAAAACATAACAAGGACACCACCGTTGTTTCTTTAAACTACTGTTTCTTGAAGTCTATTGTAAGACAGGTTAAAAGTTCATAGTGTGAACCAAGCAAAATCTGTGTCTTTGTATTAAAGGCAGTGACTCCAGTTGACAAACATAACACAAAGTGAATACAAAAATAGTGTACAGCTTTAGATTGGCTTCTGTTGAAAATATTTCCATCGTGCATCTTTGCAGAGCAGCTCTAACTTACAGTAGTGCTTTGCATTTTATTTTCACCCAGAATCCCTTGCAATTTTAATTGCTAAGCTTATTAAAAATCCCAGCTCCAGGTTATGTAAAACACATGACTTAAATATGAATGAATCCAAATATTTAAATTATCATTTGTTGCAAGTTGCAATAATTTCCACCTCTTTGATCAATTCTGTGTTTTGCTGTAGTTGTTATTTTGGTTAAATAAGCTTCTTTTTAACCTTAAACTTATTCCTTTAGTCATCCCTTTCCTCCATATTGTTTTTATATTATTCTAAATGATACCAGTTGGCTCTGAATGATCCAGGGTGAAAATGGCTTATTTTGGATGCGTGCACACTCGGCTTGAATGGACTAATAAGTATTTATGCTCAGCCCATCCACACATCTGTTGTCCACCTGCAGCTGTGCTTTCTCATTTTCATTCTCCTCACCATTTTCCCCTGAATTGCGTGAATCATTTGGCAACGTCCCGCCTTGCAGATCACAGGCGGCAGATGCGTTGGTGGTTTTTTAGAGGTCAAACGATACAGTAGACCCCCCCTCGATCTCCTCACCTCCAAGTACTCTCTTTTCGTGAATGGGCCTTTTTTTCCTCCAGGCTTCGGACTGTGGGCTCTGGTTACATGCTGTAATCAAACCACTTGAATGGAGCCTTTTAAACTGCCTATTGAGTGGACGGTAAATACATTCAATCCACTTCATCCAGTTCAACAAATGCTACACTGCTGTACATTTTACTCTGTGGTAGTGATTATTCAGTAACTTAATTGAAATTTAACAAGCTGACACTTGTGACAAGAACATTATTGAACATATAGCACCACAAGGTCCCATAAGAAGGTAAAGCAATGGTGCACTCATAGCTGAAAG